ACACACACACACACACACACACAGGCACCGCACCCCTTTCTCTGGGCTGAGCACTACACACACACACACACACATACACACACACACACGCAGACACCCCACAAGCAACGCACCCCTTTCTCTGGGCCGAGTACTCTCCCTGCATGCCTACTCGTAACTCTCAGCAATTCAGCACCTGTCCTCCCAGGCATTGTGGCCCAGGCTCCAATCAACATCCACCACTTACCTCTTGGGATTCTCCTCTGAAAATCACAGCCCACTGAAGAAAGGCCGTTAATAGGTCTCCATTCTTTCTATTATGGTTGAGTCTCTCATTTGGAAGAAAGGAAAAAGGAGGCAGAGGCTGTCTGGTCACCATGAGGAAATGGAACAATCTGTTTCTGGAAGTTAGTTTTTTGATTGGCTCAGAGGTGATGTTTCTCATCAGTTGCTGGGCAGAAACCACTCAGGAAGGTTGAAATGAAAACTGAAAGTACATTGTACAGGTTGAAGAAAAATTCCAGCTTAGTGTTTGTGTTTCTCTGTGTTTATCTGTTTGAATCATTCTTGCGTGTACATGTATGTACGTATTTCTACATATTTACTTGTCTTAAGTCTTTTATCATAATAGAAATATCAGCAGAATAAAATGGGAAAAGCTTATAATGTGGTGAAGAGAGAAAGATGTGCACTAATTAAAATGCTATTGTAGCAGTCTGTTAACATTTGCTTGCATGAATATGGGTACATGAAGGAGAAGCATATTTTACCACAGTGTCAAATAAATGTATAAATGGAAAGAAAACCAGATACGATGCACATTTTTAAGCACCTCCAGCATCCAGGCTCAGGATCTGTTACCAAATAAAATTTTTCTGGTTTCCAGAGGCAGTACTGCTTGACACGTTTTACCCTTTTCAGGACATTTTTAGTGCACGTGATTCTAAGCATCTTCATTCGTCCTCAAGTGCTGGTTTGTGCTATACTGCATTTTCCTGTGTATTTCTTTTTCGTGCTGCCAGTGGAGTACATATTCTCTGAAGCTGGACTCTAGACATACTGTGAATGCCATCTCTGTAAGAGGTCTGTGGGACAAACTGGTTCTTCCTGTGGCCTAGGGTCACAAAACACTTTTGGATTTGCAAGTCAGTGATCAAAGCTCCTAAGGCTAAGATGTGACTGGGCTGATGGAATTTGATTATATCGTAAGAGCTTGAATTTAGGCTGTGTGGTATCTTGTTGAGAAGGATGGTCGCTTCTGCATCATGCATTCCCCCTTTCTTCTTGGTGATAAGGCCTAATTTTCTTGACTACTGCAAATTGCTCCTCTATCTTGTAGATACTGAGACCAAGGGACTAATTTGGAACCAATGGTTTGTAAGTGAAAGTTGTGGGCTCGTGCTTCTCCCAGAGATCCTTTAAGAGGGAGGCCAAAATAGCTGGGAGTGTGAGGATACTCTTTATGTACTTCCTTCTTCCTCTTGCCTAGGATGTAGACTATTGAAATGGAGGTGCAGCAGTCTTCCTAGGATGATGAGGCAACCCTGAGGTTGGAAGCCGCATTCAGAGACAGCAGAGAATGAAGTCAGAAGCAGGCTGGGGCCTGAATGACACCTCTGAGCTGCCAGATCAGCCCTGGACTGTCACCATCTAAATTCATTTTACGAAACAAAATAAAACAAGAAAACCCTTGTTTTGTTTAAACCAGTGGTATTTCTGGTCTCTGTTATGAGCAGAATAACACAAATTTTCCCTCCCCCCGTTTCCTTCCCAACATTTTATCATAAAACTTCTAAAACATAAAGCAAAGGTGAAAGAATTTTCAGGAATACCAATGTATCTACCATGTAGATTGTAGTGATATGGTTAATATTTTACTAAACTTTCTTTATTATAATCCATACTACTGTTCATTCCATATCTATCCATCATCCTTATTTAATTGTTCATTTATTTTTAAATTCATAGTCTATCAGTAGGTGTATGGCTTGAAATTGTATCAGTAAGAACAATCACCCCATCCTTACCTGCAGGATCCAAGTCACTTTGACAGAGAGAAGCAGCTAAGGTGCTAAGCTTCAGATTAGGAGTTTCTGAGCCCAATACTTTGTATCTTTGAACTTTGTACTTTCCAAAGTATGAGGCTCCTGGGTCCATTTCTCATGCAGTCCTTTATACAGAACTCTGGGAAAGAAGTCTTGGGAAAGAAATGGATGGGAAATAGAAATGAATTCAGTGATTCAACAAATTTTTATTGAGAACCTATTATCTAGTAGGTCTCAGCTGCTAAAGTTCAAAATTAGTGAGGAGAGATTGCACAATGAACTGGATAAGAGCACTAATTCTGAAGCCAGGTGGCCTGGGCCAGGTACCTACCATCTCTGTGCCCCAGTTTTCTATCTGTAAAATAAGGACAGTAATAGTATTTGACTTTTAGGGTTGCCATTGTGAGGATGGAATGATTAATACATGCAGTTTGTTTACAACAGTGTATCAAAGAGTAAGTCACAAGAATGTATGCTAAGTGCAAAGTGCACTTAGCCCTCCTTCAAGACCTAGGCACTTGATCCTATCTTCTGTTTTTCATAAGATCTAGTGCAGTGTCCTGCATGTAGTAGGTGTGACAAATTGCCCAGAAATCTGTCTCCTTTATTTAGTCTCGTCAAGAAATATCCATTTATCATGGTTATCTTACCTCTTGTTGCCTTCAGGAATGCTCATGAACACAAATTTTCTTTATGCTAAATCTGGCTATCTGTCAGCATGTCCCAGGCAAGCTGGCTCACTATCTACTGTCTCTAGGCTTTTTTTTCTATCTTCGTGTGTTGTCATCCACAACTCATTAGCCCTGGAACCGAAAGCCAGTTAACTAATTACTCAAAGCCTCTGTTTCTGTGTCTGCAGAATGGAAATGAGAATTGCTCTGTAAGTTATTTAAGGAAAAGTTAGCACAGCACCTGTATGTTTTAACCCTCAATGGATTTCACTGTCATCCATTCTGAAAGGCTCCATTCTGAGCCCTGCACTGATGGCTCCTAAATCCACCTGCCCTGAAGACAACATCCACCGAGGTGAGGAAACTGAGGGTAAAGTGGATTTTGGAGGCCAGGAGAGGAGCCAGCATAGAACCCAAGGTCAGGTTTGGATATATTCAGGTTGAGGAGCTTACTAGAAATCGCTGTGGAGATGCAGAGTAGGCAGGACAATAATAAATGTGTGGGCCTGGCATGGTGGCTCATGCCTGTACAGTTTCTTAGGACCCAAACCTTGTGGTCATCCTTGATGCCTTCCTTTTTCACACCCCACATTTAAGTTTATCAGCAAAGCCTTTTTCTCTCTGTCTTGAAAATAAATCCAGCAACAGATTGTTCCATGGCTCCTCTCTGGTGCAAGTCATTGGCAGCTCCCCTCTGCATCAATGCAGTAGCTCCCAACAGGGTCTTCAGGTTTCTGGCCACCACCCCTGCCACAGCCCATCTCGGTCTAGCATCTGAAGTCAGTCCAGTCCTTCTTCTGTCAAACCTTCCAGTGGCTCCCCTTTCAGAGGTAAAGCCCAGGTCAGCATGATGACCTTCACAGCCATATATGATCTGGCCCCCAACCCCAGAGGTCGAAAGAATCACTCTGGATTCTTTCAATAATGTGTCTATTTGTAACTGCAGTAATACAATTTTGGACTATTTAAAGTTTTTTCCGTCCTGTTGGATTATTGAATTGTCTCAAACCTAAAATACTACCATTAAAGCCGGACTTTTAGATGCCTGATTCTATTAATTAGGGTTCTCTAGAGAGACAAAACCAATATGATATAGATATATATAAGTATGAACAGGCATTTATTAGGGAAATAGGCTCATGTGATTATGAAAGCTGAGAAATCTCACGACAGCTCATCTGTACGCTGGAGACCCTGGGATGCTGGTAGGATGGCTCAGTTTAAGTCTGAAAGCGTCAGAACTAGGGAAGCCGACTGTGTAAATCTCAGTCTAGAGCAAAAGGCCTGAGAAGTCAGGGCATCCAGGTACAAGTCCCGAAGTTCAAAGGCCGAAGAGCCAGGACTTCTGATGTCCAAGGTCAGAAGAAGAAGAGTGTCTCAGCTCCAGAGAGAGAAGAATTTGCCTTTCCTCTGCCTTTTTGTGATATTGGGCTCCCAGTCAATTGGAGGGGAGAATTTCCCACTGACTCACATGCCAATCTCTTCTGGAAACACATTCACAGACATACCCAGAAATAATGTTGTACCAGTTGTCTAGGTATTACTTAGTCCAGTTGAGATGACTCCTGAAATTAACCAGCACATGGATTTACTTCCAGGATCCACTATTCTAATCTCCAAATGTGGTCTAGTGATTCCGAGGGAGAACTCTGATACACTGTTACGGAGTTTCCAAGGTTAATACTATTGGCATCATCATCATCATCATCATAAAACATTTGTTGTTTTAGATTTCTTCCTCTCGGTAGGGTACAGTAAGGTTTTTTTGGAGCCTATATATAACTATGATATATGAATTGATTTAATACAAAAGCAGACATGGGAATACAAACATCTTCTATTAAGTCAGACATTAAATTTGGAAAAAGTTAATCAATGTTACACTTTTTTTGTTCTTTTTTTTTGCACACAACAGTTGATTTTTTCATAAAGCATCTTTTTTTTTTTTTTTTTTTTTTGAGACGGAGTTTCGCTCTTGTTACCCAGGCTGGAGTGCAATGGCGCGATCTCGGCTCACCGCAACCTCCGCCTCCTGGGCTCAGGCAATTCTCCTGCCTCAGCCTCCCGAGTAGCTGGGATTACAGGCACGTGCCACCATGCCCAGCTAACTTTTTGTATTTTTAGTAGAGACGGGGTTTCACCGTGTTGACCAGGATGGTCTCGATCTCTTGACCTCGTGATCCACCCGCCTCGGCCTCCCAAAGTGCTGGGACTACAGGCTTGAGCCACCGTGCCCGGCCCTTAGCATCTTATATTAACTTGTAATTGGTTCATTCATGCTATTTTAACATGAATTAGTAAATAACATATTAACATTTTCTGTTTCAATCTCAAATGCCATAAATATTAACAAATATCAACCCAAATAAACAAAAGCTCCTCAAGGCCCTAAACAGTTATTAATTGTCTAAAGACATAAGTAGCCCAGGTTTGAAGTCACTGGTACCCCCACTGAACCGGAACGCTGAGGTAGATCTGGTCCAGTACTGCCCTGTTCGATCAGGACCTCAAATCTCAACCACACTCGAGGACAGAGTACTGACTCCTTGTTTACTGCAGGGGCACCTGAGCCCAACCACACCCACATGTCCAT